ATAAATATCTTCATATAAACAAAATAAGGCTTTGTCTGTGCTCTTAACATTTAAAATTAGAGGCAACCACTGCATTTTAATCTTGATCCAAACAAAGATGCTGCATACATGCAACATGAGCAGTTTTTAAACTAAATTAGATTGTATAGTTTCGAAATTTGAAGCAAAAACAGAATGGTTTGACTTCAGTTTTGTGAAACTATAAATAAAAATATCTGCATGAAACAGCAGAGCTGAATGAGATGCAGATTCACTCTCTGCCAGCAGGTGGCGCTTAAACCGTTTCCTGGTTTCCGCTGTAAACACAGCAGCGCTGAACTTACGAACTTTAATATGCATTATACAGAGGCAAGATGAAAAGAAAAAAATACAATCTAAACTTTTCTAAAGACAGTAAGTTCCCCTCAGACATAGATTCATATAAACTCCTACACCTAAATGACTCGCGATTTGTTTAACATCTCAACCGATTTGAATCGTCACATATTTGAATCGATTTTCAACCGTCTCGCGGTTAATCGTTACATCCCTAAACACAACACATAATCAGGTTAATATATGACACTAAAATAATTCTATAAACATTAACCAAATAAACTAAAATGCAACATAATACTCCAATGTGCATAACTGGTAGCAGAAAAAAAGAATACACTACATTCTTAAAATCTAAACAAATGTGGTTGTTCACACAGGCAATCCCAACAAAGTCAGCACTTTAACTGGAAAATATTGTTATAATTTGTATGTATTGCCTTACTTTCACTATTACTTTTTCAGGAAATTCATACTTACTAAATATAAATATATTTTGGTAAGGTACTGTGTATAGTAAGGCAACTCACCGTTTTCAAACGACAGGGTTTTAACTTATGTTTACATTATTTTTCCGTTAACATTTTACGTTTTAACATTTTCGGTGTACAGTATCATTAAAATAAAGGTTTATCGTTACTGGTGATCCAGCGAAAATGAGTTTGTCGCATGTTTCGCAGTAACGGTGTCATGAGGTCAACTCGGCCGCGCGGCCCAGAAACATACACGAGCACATCCTACTGAAGTCCACCGCAAGCTAAGCTTACATAGCATGTAGCTAGTACTCATCAGAAAAAAATCAAACAAACTGGGGACAGACCTGTTGAGAAACGCACCAAAAAGCATACGGATTCTTTTGTGTTTTCTTATGTCTTACCTGTTCGATCAAAAGAGCTGCCCAAAGGAGACTTGACAAAAATCGCATGATGCCTGATTGTCGTCGTCTCCCCCATCCAGTAGCCCTCACTCACTGCAGAACAAAGATCCAGGGGGCGGGGTTAGATCCACATCTAGGGGGTGGAGATGGGTGGGTTTAGGGATCAGGGGGTGGAGACG